GCGGGGGAAGGGATGGGAGGATCTAGGAGCAAAGGGCCAAGTACCAATCATAAAACTTTCTCTGTCCTAGAATGCCATTCTTAAACCATAATTTTCACTTTTTAAAAAAAAGCCATAAACTCATGCAGCACCTTTCGCTGGCTGCCATCTCTGACAGACGCAAGGATCCTGTGCAGCCCTGCACGGTTCTCATGAAATACAGTTGAACTTGCCTTGAACAGAGACACTGTGATCTTGTTATATTACAAGTAACGAGTGCTTTGAGGAGCGCTAGGTATTCTGCACTCTATGTTATCCAGTAATAAAGATGAATTTATTTCCAAATAACTTATTGTATAGCAAAAAAGGTGCAAAATAATAATATGCAATTAAAAACAAACAATATAGCGCAAACTTAAAAAGTTATAGAACAGAGCCTTAAGAATAGAATGGGAGAATTGTGGCCATTTCAGTCCCTTTCTGCCAAACATACAGCAACCATGGCTCTCACAGGTCCGTGTATGTGAAGCTGTGGTTTTCTTTGCTATCCCCCAGGGTGGCCTGGGTGGGATGTGGCTTGTGATGCCATGTGGAATGTTGGGGGGGGGTGAAATGGAGTTCTCCATTGATTTTAAAGGGAGGCAAGCACATGACTGTTGTACCTGCAGGTCAACAAGAGCCTACAGCATTTGTGTTTGCTGCCTGAGAAGCCCCATTATGTCCTGGGACCTGGGATTGTTTAGTCTGCAGAAGAGAAGAATGAGAGGGGATTTGATAGCTGCTTTCAACTACCTGAGAGGTGGTTCCAAAGAGGATGGTTCTAAACTATTCTCAGTGGTAGAAGAGGACAGGACAAGGAGTAATGGTCTCAAGTTGCAGTGGGGGAGGTTTAGGTTGGATATTAGGAAAAACTTTTTCACTAGGAGGGTGGTGTTACCTAGGGAGGTGGTAGAATCTCCTTCCTTAGAGGTTTTTAAGGTCAGACTTGACAGAGCTCTGGCTGGGATGATTTAGTTGGGGATTGGTCCCGCTTTGAGCAGGGGGTTGGACTAGATGACCTCCTGAGGTCCCTTCCAACCCTGATATTCTATGATTCTATGGTGCATCTTCCTCTGCTTTTCCTGCTGGGTCTTTCTCCTGTCCGTGCTTTCCTTCTCCAGGCTGTCTGCTATATTCACTCTCTAGACCCTCTGTTCACAATCTGATGCCGCACTGGCTTGCAGGACCTTGGTGAACACGTCTTCCCTAGTCCGCTTTTTTGAGGGCACCCCTCAAAGCTGCAATGGCAGCAGCTATGGATAAAACAGGCAGATGTATCATCGCATTTACAGTCACAATGGTTAACGACAGTTAAGACAGGCTCTGCACAGCACTGCTCTCCAGCCACAGGCAGGGTGAGTATGGCCTGTCATGGGTGAGGGCTGGGGAAATGAGAAGGAAATTGTTTGATTAAAACAAAATGTAGGCCTCTAGTTTCCATGGGCAGGAGTACAGGGCAATGGCACTGAGCAGTGGCACTATTTTCCACAGGCATTGGTGATTTTAGCGAGTATCTCACTTCTGAGGGTCACAAAGGCACAGAGCACACAGGTGCCCAGGCTGTATGCCACTGACCTGTTCACTGCAATGGTGCCTGCTGCAGTCATTGCAGAGTGGCATCAGAAAGCGTTCCACCAGAGGAAGAAATAAGGCAGCCATCCCTAGAAACCTCTAGGAGAGCACTGCAGAGTATCTCCATGAAAGTTTTATCAAGCTCACTCAGGAGGATACAAGGGACACCCCTACGTACACAAGGAAATTGCTCCGCACGGTCCCCTCACCTAATCCCACAGAGAAATGAAAACAGACAGAGGTAGAAGCGTTTGTACGAGTAAAATGATGAAAAGTAGATACTGGTGTCCCTGCTAACTTGGGGATGGGCCAGGCACCATCTCTTCATTTAAACATGGTAAGGGAGACTTCATGCACACGCTTACCCAAGTTTTCTCCTCGGGATTGAGCTTATCCATGCTTGGCTGCACTGGCTAGACTCTGGGGGAGGCTCAAAAAAATCCTGGCTCACAGAATTAGCTGGACCGCCTCCTCCCTCCCTGCCCCAGGTCCCTCCTCCTTGCCGTTCAGAGCCGAAATCTGTGTCTTGGGTTCCTCGAAGGTACGCATGGTGGTCTGCAAGATGCTGGTGGCATCTCAGCCACATGTGGCTTGCAGCTCATTGTAAAAGCAGATCTGCAGCTTGGCACCAGACTGACTGTTGGACCCTCTGGCCATGTGTTATGCCTGCTGCAGCTCCTTCACTTTCACGCAGCACTGGTGCTGATCCCTTTGCCTGCCTGCTTGCCCCTGGCAATCTTTTCATAAATGTCCACATTTCTATGACTGGGCCGTAGCTGTGCCTGCACTGCTTCTTCTCCTCATAGGCCCAGGAGATCCAATACCTCCTGGCTACTCCAGGCAGGAGCACATCTAGAGCAGTTGAACAGTTGCACACCACAAGGGAGAGCGGCTAGATGTGCTCACCAAACTAGGCACTCAGGAAAAGGGGTGGCTTCCAGTCTCCATGACCCCTGGGCAGTGGAGTTCACCTTTGTGACCAAACCGGTCACTCTCAGGCATTGTATAATTGCTACTTGAGGACCCTTAGGGTTGCCATAGGTTACACAGTGTTTTCACTCACCCTCTGTCTCCCGACAGTATGTCAACTATGGCTCAACATTGTTTGGGGAAGTGGTGTTAGGCTCAACATTGTTTGGGGAAGTGGTGTTACTACGTTGCCATAATGGGATGCTCACATCGGCAGGAGACAAATTTCAGTGTAAACACACACACAAATAGATAGATGCAAGGGAACTTTCATTGACCTATTTCTGTAGCCTAGACTAGGCCTACCACAGCCTTTAATCCTAATTCTGCAAGTTTTGTACAATTAGAACTTAAATCACATATGCTGCATTCTTTGTTTTTACTAGGTATTTTGTGAAAATAGATTTAAATAATAATTTTTTGGTTTTGGATAGTTAATTTAAACTATTAGCTCCTCACTCTCTCTCAGTGAAGATTTAGATGCCATAGCAGTGAAGTGATAAACATTCCCTACTGCATGCTTTGAAGGAGAGCACATAACACAACCCCCCTGGCTTTCACTCTTACTTTGAGTAAAACTGTAAATCATCTGAGGTATGATTATGTACCACTGGCCCACTATCCACGTGAAATGATTATTCATTAGAATGAATACATGAACATACAACTTTTAGCTGCAAAAAAATAAAAACACAAGCATTGACGATCAAGTCAAACTTAGAATTTGATTAAGTTTCTGGTCAAATGGTGCACTTCAGCTCTGGGATAACCCTTATCTGGCAAAAATATAAAGTCTGACTAGGGCATCCAAGGTAGCTTTTAGCAACAGTTTTTTCCCCGATAAGCCAGTCCTCGTTTAAGCTGAAATGTGACTCATATTTGTGCTTCTTTGGTATGTTTAAAGTTTACTACCCGTGGGAACAAGTTTAAGCTCTGCAGCTGGTGGTCTATCCCTTCAGCAGGGTCACATTTACAGAAGAGGCTTTTAGTGTCATAACTAGAAGGCCAGTGCCACGCACTGAGGACGGACCATCCTTCCTTCCTAAGTTTTAAATACATGGTTTCTTAATTATCTAAACTTTGGTATGTCTACACTGCACACTGCTTTTGGCATCCCACCCCCAGCATAGGTATAAATAGCAGCGTACATGATGAGGCATGGCTTAGGCAAGTAAAGACACTCCTGGACTCTGGGTATGTACTATCTATACTCACCTCAGCACGACCTTCCCATCTACACTGCTATATTTAGCAGTGTAGTGTCCTGCTGTTGGAGTCTTTCCTCACTGGGGGCAAAGGCTACAGCAGCCGAGAGGCAGCAAAGAAATATAGTGCTCCCCACTGCCACCCGCCGCAGAGCCTTTCACTGATACATGTAGCTACATACCACAGTGTGGACGCAGCCTGTTTTTCATTGTGGCATGTGGCTACACCTACCTTATATGCTGCCGCAAGAGGTGTGCAGCAGTGTTCCCTCTTATTTTTTACGTCCATGTGCGGAATGAATTTTGTTATGTGCACTAGTATGGAGGTGATGTGTCGTGGGGGTGGGGCAGAAGGATTCGGAGTGTGGGAGGGGGCCGAGAGTTGGGGTGAGGGGGTGGTGGTGAGGGCTCTGGCTGGGGATGATGAAGGCTCTGGGGTGAGGCCCTGGGTTGGTCCCAGGGATGAGGGGTTTGGGGTGCAGGAGGGGCTTAGGGCTGGGGCAGAGATGGGGTGCAGGGAATGGGGGCTCCAGCAATAATAAAATGGGGTGTGGGCTCCGGGGAGTGGCCAGGGATGAGGGGCTTAGGGTATAGGCTGCCCCAGGGCTGTGGTTGGGAGAGAGAGCACTCTCCCCAGCCCTCTCTCACTGCAGCAGCCTGGGGCCGGGGTGCCTCTCCCCGGTTGCAACAGCTCCGGCGGGGCCCGGCTGGGGTAGGCCAGGGGAAGGGCGCCTCTCCCCACCTGCGCGGCCCTCGATAGCTTGCTGCGCAGCCTGGCAGCTTAAGAGGGAACTTAGGTGTGCAGCATAGATGCAGTGTAAGAGAGAAATGAGGAGTGGCAGAGCTACTATAACGAATGGGATTAGTATAAATGATGCAAAGCCCATTCAGAGGAACAAATTATAAGTTATTTAAACTTTTAAATTATTACATGGTTGATAGTTTGTCCTTGTTGATTTTTACAGGTGTAGAATGATTCCATCCAATTTAACTTCCTCCACCACCACACTCTGCAATAATTTCTAACAGAGAAACTCATTTAAACTATTTATTGCCAGTGGTTTGCATTTAGTTGCCAGTCATCTCATCTGAAAGGATTTCTGAAGGCTCTTTCACTGCCACTTTTATTCAGCGTGTCTCTGTATCTCTTGTTTCAAGACAGCGTTAAGATTTACAATATTTTAGACATAACTTTAAATTTTCACTTTTTTATGTTTGATAAATGACTCTGTCCTATTAAAAATACGGGCATTTATTTAAAAGTTAATTGTAATCAGACAAGCATGTACAATTGTTATCAGCCCATTTCTGGAAGGGACACATTTATAATCACTGGCTATTGGAATTTTTTCCACAGACATTAATAGTAAATTGTTTATTACCCTTCAGATGTATTTGATTAGTGAATCAACACCACAGCTATGGAAAATATTTTCAGTGTACACAACTGCCATTTTACTTAATTTTCTGAATGTGAATTTTAGTGCTCGTAAAAGATGCCAAACAGCTCAGGAAATTGATAGTTAAATACTTCCAATCATCAACCTAACAGTGAAGGCAAAGACAAAGATAAGCTTTCTCAGACAACCCTAACAATATTGTTCTGGAGGGGACTATCTTGAAGGCATGCAAAGTCAACTCAGCTTCCCAGCCCATTACACCCTGTTTCTTAATTGAGAATACCCATATAGGTGCCAATTGTGATTAGTTTGTGTCCCATACTCATTCAATAAGGATAAGAGACTATGAACAGAACTCATTTAGATAAATGAGCTCTGTACAGGCATCACATCGAGAACAGATATTCAGGAAATGAAGGAGAGACAGCTCGTGTTGGAAACTGTTGATTAAAACTGTTAACTAACAAAAGTATGAGGCACAGTTATACAGAAGGCAAGTTCTGTGCAGCTGAAATAGCAGGCCATTTTTTAAACTCTAAACTGGTCCATTAATTTAGACCTGCTAGTATTGGATATTTTCATTCTTTATTTTCAGTCCTTCTTCACTTGACCTTTGAAGTGGTCCATGAACTGCAAGGCCCCGATGTAGTCTCCAATGAGTATTCCCATTTTCACAGGCAAAAGACTGAAGGAAAAAACACACCAGAGTATTTACATAGTCTTATAAATCACAAAAGTAATCCATGTGGCTAAGCCCAAGAACACAAAGCCTTACAGCTTCTAAAGTACAGTCTTCAGAATATATTTATGGGGTAGCAAGTATTCCCAGTGTACAGAGAGAAACTGAGGCAGCGTTTCCCCAATATCAGAGCAAGGATTAGAACTCAGGAACCCAAGTCACGAAATGGGGACATTCCTTTAGAACATACTGCCATATGATAATGTACATAAAGAAACTGAAATGAAAGACACTCCTCAATCTAAGTGGGCCCAATTTCTCAATTTATTTTGGAAACTGTCAGTCTTAGGAATAAATTATTTTTGAACTCAAGACCTCAGAAGCCAAATTTCTCCATGTTAGTATAACCCATCTGTACAACAGAACTTGCAGTTTTGTAGAGCTATTTAACTCACTCAAGTGGTGGCAGCAGCTACAAAAATTATATATATATGTAATTGAAGTAGTACAGGATTTTTGTGGAAATAGTTTTTCACTCCTCCCTAAATGTGTCTCATGCATGTTCACCTAGATGATCAGTGTCTCTAGAGTGTTTAAGATGGGACTACGAATAGATGTCTAATAGAAAGGCAAGGGCAAATGAAGATGGATATCAGGGGAGATGGATGGAGAAAAGAAGGTAGGAGGAAAAAATTTTAGGCTGCCCTTCTCCCGCCTCCGAAGCTATCTTTTCATCAGCTGTTTATGCACTTCCTGCTACTTACAGAATCTCTTTCTACTGTCAAAATCAAACTGGGAATGGTTACATTTAAAAGAAAAAATAGAAACACTGATTTTAAAGTAGGTATTGGACCTCTAACTGCTGCTGGGAGCGCAACCAGCCTTCAAATAGTCCGGGAACTTTAAAAAATGCCTAAACAACAAATATATTTTGAAAGCACTAAGGAAAAAGGTCTTCATAGCCTACTGTTTTATCCTAGTTTTTTTTTTTTTTTTTAAGTAGTGGAATAATAATGCATTAAGCTTCCAATAAAATTAATATGCTCCAATAGAAATAAGTCACAATAGAGCATGCATTAAATAGGTTATTGGTATGCTCAGCCATTCAAAACAGCACACACTACCTTTGGCCTTCAACATACTGTGACAGGGTCGGGCCAGATGGCTACAGGAGAGTAACAGAAGGCAGATATATTAGCCCCAGGTTAAGTAGGTCCCTTTTCGCTGGGTAGGGTAACAGGGAAGGTTCCAGAACAATCAGGAACCTTCTGGAGACAATTAAGACAGACAGGCTGATTAGAACACCTGCAGCCAATCAAGAAACTGTTAGAATCAATTAAGGCAGGCTAATCAGGGCATCTGGGTTTTAGAAAGGAGCTCACTTCAGTTTGTGGTGTGCATGTGAGGAGCTGGAGCAAGAGGCACTAAGAGCTGAGAGTGAGAACGTGGACTGTTGAAGGACTGAGGTGTACAAGCATTATCAGACACCAGGAGGAAGGTCCTGTGATGAGGATAAAGAAGGTGTTGGGAGGAGGCCATGGGGAAGTAGCCCAGGCAGTTGTAGCTGTCGCACAGCTGTTCCAGGAGGCACTCTGGACAGCTGCATTCCACAGCGCCCTGGGCTGGAACCCGGAGTAGAGGGAGGGCCCGGGTTCCCCCCAAACCTCCCAACTCCTGGTCAGACACAGGAGGAGTTGACCTAGACTGTGCATTCAGAAAAACGGCCAAGCTAGGGCTGTCGTGAAGCTCCAAGGCGAACAAATCTGCCAATAAGCGCAAGACCCACCAAGGTAGAGCAGGAACTTTGTCACAATACCCAGGGTGTGCAAGCACTTCAGGGCAAAAGCAGCATTTTTGTGTGTTTATGCAATGCAACAGTGATCTTCACTGGGGCTTCTGGATGCTAGTATGATATAATTCACATGACTGGAGTACTGTCATGGATGGATATAAACTGTTCAGGAAGGACAGGCAGGGCAGAAAAGATGGGAGAGTTGCATTGTATGTAAGAGAGCAGTCTGACTGCTCAGAGCTCCAGTATGAAACTGCAGAAAAACCTGAGAGTTTCTGGATTAAGTTTAGAAGTGTGAGCAACAAAGGTAATGTCGTGGTGGGAATCTGCTATAGACCACCGGACCAGGGGGATGAGGTGGACGAGGCTTTCTTTTGGTAATTAACGGAAGTTACTAGATCGCAGGCCCTGGTTCTCAAGGGAGACTTCAAATCACCCTGATATCTGCTGGGAGAGCAATACAGCGGTGCACAGACAATCCAGGGTGTTTTTGGAAAGTGTAGGGGACAATTTCCTGGTGCAAGTGCTGGAGGAACCAACTAGGGGACGAACTCTTCTTGACCTGCTGCTCACAAACTTGGAAGAATTAGCAGGGGAAGCACAAGTGATTGGGAACCTGGGAGGTAGTGACCATGAGATGGTCGAGTTCAAGGATCCTGACACAAGGAAGAAAGGAGAGCAGCAGAATACGGACCCTGGACTTCGGAAAAGCAGACTTTGACTCCCTCAGGGAACTGATGGGCAGGATCCCCTGGGAGAATAACATGAGGGGGAAAGGAGTCCAGGAGAGCTGGCTGTATTTTAAGGAATCCTTATTGAGGTTACAGGGACAAGCCATCCCGATGTGTAGAAAGAATAGTAAATATGGCAGGCGACCAGCTTGGCTTAACAGTGAAATCCTTGCTGATCTTAAACACAAAAAAGAAGCTTAGAAGATGTGGAAGATTGAACAAATGACCAGGGAGGAGTATAAAAATATTGCTCAGGAATGCAGGAGTGAAATCAGGAAGGCCAAATCACACTTGGAGTTGCAGCTAGCAAGAGATGTTAAGAGTAACAAGAAGGGTTTCTTTAGGTATGTTAGCAACAAGAAGAAAGATAAGGAAAGTGTGGACCCCTACTGAATGAGGGAGGCAACCTAGTGACAGAGGATGTGGAAAAAGCTAATGTACTCAATGCTTTTTTTTGCCTCTGTCTTCAGGAACAAGGTCAGCTCCCAGACTACTGCACTGGGCAGCACAGCATGGGGAGGAGGTGACCAGCCCTCTGTGGAGAAAGAAGTGGTTTGGGACTATTTAGAAAATCTGGATGAGCACAAGTCCATGGGGCTGTATGTGCTGCATCCGAGAGTGCTAAATGAGTTGGCGGATGTGATTGCAGAGCCACTGGCCATTATCTTTGAAAATTCATGGTGATCGGGGGAGGTCCTGGACAACTGGAAAAAGGCTAATGTAGTGCCCATCTTTCAAAAAGGGAAGGAGGAGGATCCTGGGAACTACAGGCCAGTCAACTTCACCTCAGTTCCTGGAAAAATCATGGAGCACGTCCTCAAAGAATCAATTCTGAAGCACTTAGTGGAGAGGAAAGTGATCAGGAACAGTCAGCGTGGATTCACCTGACTAATCTAATTGCCTTCTATGATGAGATAACTGGCTCTGTGAATGAGGGGAAAGTAGTGGATGTGTTATTCCCTGACTTTAGCAAAGCTTTTGACACGGTCTCCCATAGTATTCTTGCCAGCAAGTTAAAGAAGTATGGGCTGGATGAATGGACTATAAGGTGGACAGAAAGCTGGCTAGATTGTCGGGCTCAATGGGTAGTGATCAATGGCTCCATGTCTAGTTGGCAGACGGTATCTAGCAGAGTGCCCCAAGGGTCGGTCCTGGGGCTGGTTTTGTTCAATATCTTCATAAATGATCTGGAGGATGGTGTAGATTGCATCCTTAGCAAGTTTGCAGATAACACTAAACTGGGAGGAGAGGTAGATACGCTGGAGGGTAAGGATAGGATACAGAGGGACCTAGACAAATTAGAGGATTGGGCCAAAAGAAATTTGATGAGGTTCAACAAGGACAAGTGCAGAGTCCTGCACTTAGGACGGAAGAATCCCATGCACCACTACAGACTAGGGACCGAATGGCTAGGCAGCAGTTCTGCAGAAAAGGACCTAGGGGTTACAGTGGACGAGAAGCTGGATATGAGTCAACAGTGTGCCCTTGTTGTTAAAAAGGCCAATGGCATTTTGGCCTGTATAAGTAGGGGCATTTCTGGTACAGTAGTCCCTTTCTTTTCAAGGTTCTTAACAAATCCTTCTGAGATTCAGGTGGCTCCTCCCCACCTGTCTGCTATCCCTAACATTAGAAGTTATGTGCTACAGCCATCTTTGTTGACTGATTCTAGTTTCTGTGCTGTTACAGGGGTTGTTCTGTGTCCCCATTTGTGCCTGCACTGCTTTATTTAACACATCCACTGTAACAGTACTCTTGGCTCCCTTTAGCTTAAGGAGAGAGATTTAGAATCAAACGATGGGCCAAGATTTAAAAAAAAAAAAAAAAAAGCCTAAAGATAGGCTCCTAAATCCATATTTGGCCACCTAACTCAGTGGCCAGATTTCCAAGAATGCTGAGCATCCAGCGACTCCTACTGACCTGCATAAGTGCTCAATAGTATTACAAGGGCAGACCTCTACACAGCCAAGAAGAAAACTCTCTGTTGCAGTTTTGTTCAGTCAACACTAACAGTTTCCCTTTACAGATTATTTAAATATGTATAGCTATGGGAAAGTGTTCCTTACTGGGAACCTTCAGAGTCTGGTATAAGACATGCAAAGTATCCAAGACCACCACCTGAGGAAGCCTCCCTGTAGCAACAACTTATCTAAAACTTAAAAGCAACTTGAAACTCACGAAGGTAAATATCTACGTAGGCTTAGACTTGACAGCCCAAGTAATCATTTGATATTGTAGCATGTAGAGTCCGTAATCATGCAACTAAACATAATGCATTTGACAGAAGAAATCCCATCCCTACCTTTTCATATAACAAAAAAAGTACAGGCTTCGTGGCATCATCAGAATCTCTTGCTCCCGTTGAATAGCACTCATAATCTTCTCAGCTGCATAGTCCAAATCTAGAATAGGAAGTAGACGTGGCCACCTGGAAAAAGACAACATATGGTTACTAATATGATATTGTCAAAACTTTCCCCTCTGTTTCATCTGGATAACTTCAAATTTAGAACAAGTCAGCTTCAAGTTTAAAGTTGTGCTCCTTACAAAAGGAGGATACCCCATTTTACAAAAGTTTTTGCCTCTTAGGGTATGTCTACACTACCCGCAGGATCGGCAGGCAGGAATCGATCCAGCGGGGATTGATTTATTGAGTCTAGTCTAGATGCAATAAATAGACCCTCGAGCGCTCTCCTGTTGACTTCTGTACTCCAGCTCGGCGAGAGGCACAGGCAGAGTCGACGGGGGAGTGGCAGCAGTCTACTCACCCTAGTGAAGACACCGCGGTGAGTCGATCTAAGTACGTCGACTTCAGCTACATTATTCACATAGCTGAAGTTGCGTAACTTAGATCGATCCCCCCGCCAGTGTAGACCAGGCCTAACTTACAAGCTAACATTGCAAAATGAAGTTCTGTTCATGGAATTATATAACACCTGACAAATCAGTTTGAAAGTGGTAAACAGCCACTGTCTTGTTTTCACTTGGTATTGGTGCCTGTGAGCTCAATTCTTGCTATCTTCAAATCAAGCAAAGTTTTTATTTAGATAAGCTTATTCTGCTTCTACATTTTCTGTGTTTAACATCCCATGAAAGATTGTACTGACAATGACGAGCTACGCTTCTGAAGCTGTCATGAGGAAGGTGGAGATTTAGCAGCCAAATAGGAGACAGTTGAGGCTTTTGGCATCTAGGGAGAAGGCATGAGATTGTGAGAAAAGAAACACGTAGTCTGTGCTCTCTCAAATGAGCAGCGAAGTAGTTAAATGTGTTGACAATTAAAGTTACACCATCACTAGGTTGCAGAGTTAATAATCTGAGTAGCAGTTCACATTTTTTTTCAGAGTTACTGTTTCAGGCTATTTGCAGAATCAAGAAGAGAACACTTCATTGGATTACACTAGATTGAAATTTGGAAAATTCATATTCTTACCATGGGGCTAGAAATGTAATTAAAGAGTCTTAGATTCTGCAGTCTGGCAATCATTGAGCTTTGTCTATGAGCCCTAAAAATGGCACAAGGGAGAAAAACCTACCTTATAATAGTTTCAGATTATGTCATTTCTACTAATTACCTTTCATAAATCATGTATTTAAATCAAACATTTTTGACGTGCCATATACTAATTACACACAGAACCCACAAATTCACTCACTTGGCTTTACAACCATCAAACATTCCTGTGTTGATGAAGTAAGGACACACAATAGTGGTTTTAATGCCAGTCTTCCCCAGAGCCAGCATTTCTAAACCAACTGCTTCTGCAAAGCCCACTGCTGCAAATTTACTTGCACAATAATCTGTAAGTGAAGAAAGATGAAGAGTTATTTATTGCAGTTAATTATTTTATTAAGAGAAGAATCTCACAACTCTTGCAAACATAACTACATGGTTTTAGTCCAGTGTCTCATGCTGCACAAACCAAGCACAACTTCTTGTCTGAGAAGAAAGTCCGGCAAAATTATGCTCTAACAAGAGTAGTCTGGGTACTGTTAGAATAATTGCGCCTACAAATTTATCTGAATTGTGACCTCAACTGCAAAAAGTGAGTGTAAGTTTACGAATTGTCACAATAACCTATAACAAATGCTGATGTGAATAGGTATGAAAGGGAGACAGACTAAATTAGTTCATACAAAAAGGCTGAATTATATAATTCAAGGACAGTACTAAGATTATGGTTGGTCAACAAAAAAAGTGTGGGACCAGACATTAACGAACCCAAATCAGTGTGTCAAAAATTAGGCTTACTTGGTGAACAAAATAGGGACAAACTTTACCATCATAGCTGCTACCTCAACTGTCTCCTAGGACAAAGAATCCACCGTGACAGCACTGGGCCTTTGTCATTCTAATCCTGAGACATGTCCTGACCAGACTGGGCCAGAGAGAGAGGGATTCAGATGACTCTGTCACCTCCACTGGCTCTGGGTAAACACCAGCTATCATCTGATATGTGAGACTCCTCCCTCCCGCACCATGTGTCTTTTCCCTTCTTCACCATATTTCTTTTCTTTCACCTTCTGTGGCTAAGAGTGACTAAGCCTGCCACACCTACATGTTCTGCAACACTACTGTAAGCCTGTTATCAGAAAGGCAGCTAAAACCAAATGTCTTAAATGGCCAGATGATGGTACAAGTTTGCCAGATCTCAGGGTGGCTAGTAAGACAATGTGCCATGCGCGTGTTTTTCCAGCAGTAATGCTTCAAGTAAAAGTCAACATCAAAGACACAAAAGCTGCACTTTCTATTTTAGCTGTTCTTTTCTCTCCCATTGTGTGTCCTGCTTCATCCTCTAAACAAGAGGATCAGACTTCGTAACAGGAGCAGCTCCAACCATTTCAATTAGCCTCTCTTCCCCCCCAGAAAGGTACAGTACTTATCTTTAATACTATCTAAAATACTCTCAAATGAGGGGGAGGAGGAAGGGGTGGATATTTCTTCTACAAACGCTCCAGCTAAAGCCACATGATGTTATAATAAAAGCCCTACTTAACACTTTATATTTCAAATGCTGTAACTGTTCTCTTCTTCCGCTCCCCACCCCCGCACCAGTCCTTTAATAAAAGGTGAAAAGAATTTTTAATGGTGCTGAGAACCTAGATCCCATTGAGGTCAGTGGGAGCCATTAAGCGTACAGGTGTTTTGAAAGTCAGACCATTTTATTTAGGTGGCTTGTAGCTGAAGTACATAACCAAGAACATACCTTTAGATTCCATTTAGAGTGATCTTGAATACACTAACCTGCTAGCCCATTGACTCCAATCAGTCCTGCTGAGCTTGCAATACTAACCAAGTGTCCATGGTTAGAGGCCATCATGGCTGGAAGGAAGGCTTTGTAAGTCTATGAAACACATTGAAACCCACACTTACAGTTAAAAATTACTTAAAGTGATTTAATTGTGCAATTAGTTAGAACACTACTACTGAAAAAGTGCCACCTATTAAGGAGACCTTTTAAGTCTTAATGCTTTCCCCTCATTCTACAGAGGCTAATAAGATAGTTCCTGTTCTAACTAATATGTATTTCCACTTCGTCTACTAACTGAATCCGCCAAGGTGGATCTCTTAAGGACACTCCAATAAGTTTCCATAGTTTTCTTGATGTTGTAGTCATCCACTAGGGGGAGTCAGAAATCAGATTGCAATCTCGCTGGCAGAAATCAGCTGAAGTCCTGGAAAGCTGTAAATTCCCCACACCCAGGAGCTCAGTACTGCAACATTTTCCGAATAGGCTTCCATCTTAAAAATAGCAGCTGAGAAGGGAAAACTGAACTCCTAATCTTTCTGCTATCACTTGCTGATTTCAGCTACCCATTCTGTGTCATTTCCACGTTTTCCAGCAAACAGAAACAGAGCGGCATGTTTTAATCCACCATTCCTTCTTTATTAATTATAATTCACTTTCAGTTCTTTATTACAATATCGGTTCGTCTCCTTCATAGCGAAATGCAAATCAAATGACTAATTTAAGATAAAAGTCTTCAAATCAATCATGCCAGCGTATGTCAGTTTAACATTTAAGACACCAAGTAAGAGTGCTTTAGAGGATCCACTGTAATATTGCAAGTTCCCAGTGGCAAACAGGTGACAGAATGCAATCAGAACAAGTTCTGACCCAACCCATGGAAGCACATGAACCAGGCTCTTTTCTGCTAATGGTTGATGAAGTAGCCAGTTTATGGCAGCTTTGGCAGCCCTGCTCTGAGTCAGTTCATATCAAGGGCTATAGCACCAAACTGCCCACAATAACAGTACTTTTCAGCTTTACATTTCCCAGAAGTCTCTCTTAATATCAGAGAACCAATACTAAGGGAGTCGCATAGTTTATTGCTTCTTTAGGCAGAAGTGATTGCCCACACAAGGGGCTAAACATATCCCTTAACTCTCTCCCACAAGCTTTCTGGGGGCCACCCTCTATTTCTGGAATTCACAAACAAATGTCATCGAGTTGCGTGTAGGGCCTCACAAGCTCACCCAGTTAAACAGCAATTATATAAGCAATTTCCCCGCTCATTTCCAAAACAGACTTAAGTGCCAACATTCTTTCACAGTTCCCTATAAAAAAAGGATATCTATATATTACCCAGAAGTGTGCCATGGTGTTCACCTCCATGGTTTTCTCCACAAGTGAATCTGGGCAATCAATGAACTTCTTTCCAGTTACAATACCAGCATTGTTGATTAGGATACTAACATCACCAACTTCTTTTTTAACCTAAAGGAAGGCAACCAAATCAAGATGTTATTCCAGGCCAAAAGAAAGAGTATGTTTAGTTATTCGTTTATATTACAGGAAGTTGCAACATTGCTAATTTTACAATGCTAGACAGTGAGAAAGTAGTTCATAACACCAAAGTCTTTTCACTCTGCAACTTTTTCCTTTAGTCAAGTGTTAGAACTCTGCAGACAACAACTTTACAGGTCTGTAATTTAAATGTGACCTGCTAAGGGGAATTATTGGGATTTAATAAAAAGCCACCCACACTTTATATACCATAAAGGTGGCAGGAAGAACATGATGCCAGGAGAGTTAGTGTAAATGGTCATCACAAAAAGCCAATGAGTTTTGGAGGAAGAGGGGAAGTTTTCAGTCAGACTTCACTGAAGCTAAACAAAATTTGAATATATTGTCATATTCAATACCTTCAATTAAGGTGTTAATGAGCTCACAGACAGACATATTTAACCTCCCCAGAGACAATGAGGCCCTGATAAGCCTCTTAAGGTATGTCAACACAGCAAAGAAAAAGCCATGGCTGACCCGTGACAACAGACTTGGGCTCGCAGGGCTTGGGCTGCCCAAGTCCGGAAGTCTACACAGCAGTGAAACAGCCCTGCAGCCTGAGCCTGAGCCGGCTAGCACGGGCCAACTATGAGTTTTTCTTTGTTGTGTAGACCTACCCTTAGGGCTTGCAGATGGTGGGGCATAAGGACTCCCCAACAAACCTTTTAAGGATTGTGTAGGAGGAGATAGGAGAATCCTCTGTGGCTTCTCCAAAGATCACAAGATTTTTCTTGGTCTTCTAAAGATGTTTGTGTAACTAACATTCTTGAAAGGTAATGAGATAGTTATGGCAGTTTCCTGCAATATCTTGGTCAAATCCTTACTGAATTAAGGCCTTGTCTACACTACAAGTTTTGTCAGCAAAAGCTGTCTTTTGCTTACAAAACAGGGGAAGTGTACGCACTACAGAGCTCCTTTTTGCGGTAAAACTCCGCTATTTTGCGGACAAAACTATCTCAACGAGAGGCGTAAAGCTTTTTGAGGCAAAAATGAAAGTGACAAAGCGTCAGTGTAGGCACTGCTGCACGTTACCTTGACGTAACTGGCTTCCTCCAGTATCCCATAATGCCTGCCATGACCGCTCTGCTCACTGTTTTGATCTCTGCTGCCCTGCAGGCATGAGCCCCTCAACTTTCAAGCTCCAGGAAGTATGGCACAGCTGAGTGTGCTGCTCCATTCAAATCGTTAAAGGTGGAGTGCTCCTGTTCTGCCCTGCACTAGGCACACAGCTGCAGGCCGACTGCTGCTGCAGGGAGCAGGCCCTGGATGACTGCTGTACTGCTTTGACATTCCTCAGCATGGAGAGCTCACAGAGCTGCTCAGGATGTGGCTCCTGGCAGCTGAAGAGGCTGTGGGAGAACTCGGAGTGAATCACAGAACTATAGGCAGGCAGGCAGAGAGGGGAAAGAGAGAAACTGCTGTGCCATGCAAAGCTGGGGGCTGATGTGTATGGGGGTGTCCCCCACTCCCTACCACAGGATAGGTTGGTCAGCCTGCTGTCTGAACTTAAACAGCCAGCATGCCGATACACACTCTCCCGCAACATACACAGATTTCTGTCTCTCCCCTGCTCACGCCACTCTCCTCTCCCTCCCCCACACTTTAGCTGAAAAAGCAGCTGACAGTCTACTAGGATGCCCATGGAATGACGGGATTGAGAAACCTGCATCATGTGATGCTGTACCTGCCCCATGAGGCATTGTAAACCCTTCCCAAAGCACCCCAGTTTCACAGTGGGATAGCTACCCACAGTGAAGTGCTCTCTGTGTTATTGCAAGAGCTGCTAGAGTGGATGCACTCTGCTGACACAAGGAGCATAGTGTGGACATGCAATAACGGTTTAATTAAAGCGGCACAACTTTTGCCGACAAAACTTTGTACTGTAGACAAGACCTAAGTTTAAGTATTTTAGGAGTTCACTGTATTAAAAAATGCAAATGTTTACGTATTATTGTGGGATTGTATAGAACTTCTTTAGGAGGAAGACAGGATTAATACAATCTTTGGGAAGTACTGTGAGCTTCAAAAGACTGCCTTGAACAATGTAGGGGTGACAATATGTGTGAAGTAGAATTCTTTGGAGAAGAAGGTTGCAAATTCCCACTTCTGTACTCAGCCTTTGAAGCTTCCTGGAGGGCCCTGATCACCTGTTACATGAAAAAAACAATGAGGAATCCTTGTGGCACCTTAGAGACCAACACATTTATTTGGGCATAAGCTTTCATGGGCTAGAACCCACTTCATCAGATGCATGGAGTGGAAAATACAGGAGCAGGTATAAATACATGAAAAGATGGGAGTTGCCTTACCAAGTGGGAGGTCAGTCTAACTAGACAATTCAATTAACAGTAGGATACCAAGGGAGGAAAAATAACTTGTAGTGGTAATGAGAGTGGCCCATTTCAAACAGTTGACAAGAAGGTGTGAGTAACAGTAGCAGAAGTTAGTATCCTACTGCTAATTGAATGGTCTCATTAGACGGACCTCCCACTTGATAACGCAACTCCCATCTTTTCATGTATTTATACCTGCTCCTGTATTTTTCACTCTGTGCATCTGATGAAGTGGGTTCTAGCCCACAAAATCTTATGCCCAAATAAATGTTGTTTATTGTTGTCTTTGTTGTTTTTGCTTATACAGATTAACACGGCTTCCCCTCTGAAACCTGTTAGATGAAGACAGCTAAAAAACAAAAAAAAGACAGACCCCTAACAAAAAGGAGTAAATGACACTCTTTGGAGTTCTCCTTCTGAGCAAAAGGATTGATGAACTGAGCGCTACAAGAAAACTCCTGGGTGGGGTTTGAAGGACTGGTCACCAGCCAGAGCCCTTGTTGGAGTCAGGAGTGATTTCTGGGTAAGCTTACTAGCATGCATACATATTCTTTTATTGTTTTGAATAGGCTTTCTCTGAAATGTTTAAGAATAAAGATGCTTGCTTAGAAAGAGCTGTGTGGAAGCCTAACTGTGGCAGTTACCTTGTTTACCATCTCAGAGGAGAAAAGTCAAGTACGCTGGCTTAAGCAGCCTGGCTTTATTGGGGTGGTGAGGAAGGAAGGGGGTCACAGTAGAGGCAGGGAGCTGTGCAATCTGGAAATAACCTGGTCAGGAAGGAGAGAGACATGGGTTTCTGCCCAAGAAAGGTGATGGCTGATGAACCAAGAACCTAGTATGGTGCTCTTGCTAGACCATGAGGGGGAATATAGAGGTCACCGCCCTGAACTGTGACAGGTAATATAGTCAAATTACTGATGTGGCTGCAACTGTAACTTCATTTTGACTGCAAGTTAAAGAGACTCATTCTGTGTTGTGCACTTTCTATTATCCTTATATACACACTTGATAAAATAATGTGGACACCTGACTGTTGACAGTTTAAGTGCTAAAATACAAGCTGTAAATCACACAAGCTACGCATGCTCAGTTTAGACAGCTTATTTGTACATTAGCAATTTCATGTGTAATTTTTGTGGATCCCTTATTTATAAGTCTAGTGTATTTGCTTTATAATTTTTTTCTTTTATCCTTTCATGTGCTAGAAGTTGCTGCAGGGTAATTGTGTACCTTCAATAAAGAATGTAAAAGGAGGTAAGCATTCTATTTATAAAATAGAATTTAACTTAGTTGATTCTCTGCACAAAAATTAAGAAATCATTTTAATTTTAGCAAGTCCAATGCTTGATAACTACCATTATAATACTAACTTATGAGAAACTGGCATATTTGCCAGGGAGTATGAAGGAGGAGGTAGCTGGGTTTTTTTTTTTTTGTTTTTTTTTGTATAGAAGAAATTGTCAAAGTGTAGTTCTGTATTTATTAGTCACTTCCAGATTGAGCGTGCTCATCTTACAAGTGGAAGATGCCTGTTTAGTTGCCTGTAAACGCAACCTGGCAACTAAAAATACAAATATGAATGTTTTCTACAAAGGGACAGGATAAAGAAAGTTGAATAAAAGGTCTTAGAACAGTTCTTAAAATAAGTAGTACATAGTTTATATGTACATAGTGCTCAGATAATGTAATCTTGAAGTTAAAGCTTATGTTACTGGAGATAGTCAAAGGAGTACAAAGTACGTTATAGATAGAGATGGGATTACACTCACACGTGTACAGTGTCCTTTTCAGGCAATACCCCTCCCAAACTGCTTCCTTGAGAAGAAGTCTGCCAAATTTGGCAGTTCCCTTGGATCCATGGGAGGACAGGGCTATCCACATGGAGATCTTGTATCCCTGTAATAAATCACTGAAATCACTGCAATTGGCTCTATAGATTATGTTAATCAACTCCCATGTAGCACCACTATTTGGCCCAGAATCCTCCTTCAGGAATGGGCAGTGGCCAACACACTTCAATCCCCCTGAGTCCATTCCAGCTGAGCACCATCCAACACACCAGGCTCTCACATGCTTAGTCATTATTTATACAGCAGCATAGATATGCATGATGCTTTACAAAGCCCAGTCAATGACAAGATTTTAAGATTCTGTTGAAATTGAATAGTCTGATCATTGGCAGACACTTCAGACAGGCTGCATTTAAAACAAACTATTTTGAACTTATTCAGCCACCTATGGCAAGCTAGTTTGGATTGCTCATGTACAATATTGACCATGAAATTCCATGTGTAATAAATCGCAGATACACAAAGTTGCTTTTTTACAATGGCAGAATCAAGATATCTAAGTTTTAGTTCTGCGTCTGACACTTATGTGTAATCCTTTGTAGCAATGAGGTTCTGCAGCATTGGTGGGGCTAATTTAGCTACATAGCAAAAGTGTATATCCTGCTATATGTACAGTGAGTCTTCTGCATATACTCTGGTCTCAGTCTTTGCTCACATTACAAGAGCCACTAGAGTCCATGAGAAATGGTGTTCCTATGTTGTCTAGTCAAGTAGTTCCTGATCACATATTTTCAGTTTTTCCTTGAGA